CCATCCAACAAACGGATCAATTAGTGTAAAGAAAGCGAGTGCCACACATTACAATCGGACAGCAGTGACATTAACCTGAACGTCTAACGACAAACCGTCAGACTACTCCAGTTCATCTATATCGGCACAAGGCGAACGATGATCAGCTACTCAGTTAACGCCATGCCTCTCCACACCGCTTTCCGACCCATATAAGCAGGTGAACACCTCTTAATCTCTCGACCAGTTACTGCAATGAGAATGTTACCGGGATTGATCCTAAAATGTTTGCAATCTAATTACCAAGCTCAGAGGACAACTGAGCATTAAGCTTTGCAACCAAAGCTACAGAAGCAACTATCAGTACCATCATTTACAAAACCATAATCATCACTTTCCAGCTGTCTACATGTAGTCTCCTGTCTATGATAATGAACGTAAAATAAGCGACAAGAGAACGACAGTAGAAGCGGTTTAATTCAACATATTGATTCGACGTTTGCAATGTGCACCACAGGTGGCATTTGTACCTTTTAATCCACGCCAAAAGTGCAAAACCTCTTCCAGCAACAGATTTTCATTGAGTCGAATTGCCGCGTTTTGGGGATGGGAGATCAGCAATTGTCGCAGATGCACATCATCAAATGTCTCAATCTGCTTCTCGGATTGGATTTGTGACAAAGGCAAGAGATCTTGAGCGAAATGTTCATCGAATTCTCCACTGTTTGATACAAGCTATATCAAAGGGTTACATGGATGAGATCGAGAAGTGAGGCAGATACGAGTTCACAATAAACCACAGTACTGAATAAATAAAGATTTTAATTGATAAATACATTCATCACACTAATGTTGGGTATAACTTCGAACGAATTAACATTTTCTGCGTTTATGTTTACTTTTAGACGGGAATTTTATATTGAAGGAAAACAACTTCGATTTACACGGGGTTTACATAGGAAAAATGTTATGTTCTGCCAAAAAAGGCTGGCAACATTTTTCATTTACATCATCACTGCTGGATTTCCTGTTGTTCTAGATAAGTTCATCATTAACCCGTAAAATTCGGTAAGAGGCATTAATTGTTTTAGGCATATCGCATGTACTTGGATACCGGTGTGATTTCCCACAGAAACGACCATGTACAAATCATATAACCACCCGGCACTGTGTTCACCATACCCAAATTGCAAGATGCGATACCTTGACCTGATTTTCGTGAAGTTATTCTATTGGTGTAACCATGTTATTCAGGCCTACCGACTGTCACGATAGGCCGTGAATCACTGAGGCTTTACTTCCAGCGGTACGTTCAGACCACATTAGTTCTTCATTGGTCTTAGAATAGGTTGCAAACCAAAACTGGTGCAGTCCCGTTTCAAGGATGATTGAGCTACGAAGCAAATTCTTCGCAAACATCAAACTTTTCGTCACGGTAGCCTCTTCCTCGTCACAGAAGACCGACAACTACGGTGACAAGTACTAAGTGTGAATGAAAGTCAATTGAATACCTTTTCGAAGGTTCGATCCTGCGATGGCCCCATAATGTAATACGGGGAAGATATGAACAGTGCTGGGCTGTTGGATAGATCTGTGCGTGATGTTCTACACTAGAGTGGAGTTCTCGTTGTTTTGACCAGTATTTTACACCATAAACCGCCAATCAAATTGGCATATCTGAATTTGTCGGCTCTATGATAGAATGAACGGCCTTATAGCACTCAAATGGGAAACTGTAGTCCGACATCCAAAATTCAACACAGGATTATTGTGCATTATATACTGTAAACCTTACTCTGTTTTTCAGTAATTGATCCGCAAGAAAATCACCGAGGTTAATCAATTTTGGTATGATGAGGTAAAACATCCTTTTCCCTTTAACCGTCTTATCAACACCAGAAGACATATGCGGGCGAAATTTTTATTGGTCACTAATTTCGAGTGCTCTCATTCGGTTGGAAGCGCACATTTATGCTATCGTGTCAAACAATCAAACATAGTAGTCGAAATGAATAATTAGCACCGGGTTTTAATTTATGTGTACCCAACAAAAAGCCTAAGAGTTTTGAAGTAGATGCAAATTTTGAGAACTTCGTTGACTAGTTAAAAGAAGTAACACCCTTCTCAACTAAATCAGGAATTTGGCTAAGAGTCAGACTAGTAGATGTGGCTCACCGGTTCCGTGTTACCAAAACTTGTCACCATCGCCTACTAACTCATGATCAGATAAACGTGATAAAAGAACTGGAAGGGAGCAAGTTAGATTTTCTCACGAAGCCCGATGAAGGTTCTAGGGTTGTCATTCAAAAAGATCTAAGAAATATTCATGAAAAAACTTGTTTTCAAACAGATCCAAAATCAAAAGACAAAACTATAGGTTTTTTCAACCATCGGCCATGATACGTTGAAGCCACTCTGAAAGAAAGGTGTGGTCGACGCATCTTCGTCCATTAATTGAAGACCTCGGGGTTCTCACTGCAAAATTGTACGGATTTCCAAAATCGTATAAGCCCGGAATACCATTACGACATTTCCTGTCGATGGTCAACTCTTCTCAACACAAACTTACGTAATGTTTGGTTAAGCTTATTACCCCAATGAGTGCCAAACACTCTAAATTCGGGCCAAGTGATACATGTCAATAGAAGTAAACGGTACCCCGCGTATATTAACACATCCTTTTCCTTGCCTCTTGTGATATTACGTCATTGGTCACAAATTTCCCAATCGAGGAAGCCGAGAACAAAGTAAATAAATACGCCAGTGAAGTACGGTTTCTCGCGAGCTATTTCATAATCCCGCTGAATTTCTGTGTTTGCGGGGTACGGTTCATCTTTAAAGGAAATATCTATGAACAGATTGATGATGTAGCTATGGGAGGCCCCTTGGGGCAATTCTGGCTGATATCCTCTTGTCAACATGGGAAAACAAACTGGTATAGGACCTGACTTAAACCCTACTATATTGACGATACAGCGATGATACACTAGTTTGTTAATTATTTCACAAATTGAACTCCTAGTAGCCAAATATCCAAATGACATTAAAATGTGAATCAGAGTCCAAACTTCAATTTCTCGATTTACTACTCAGTCGATTGTCAGAAGGGAATTTTATAATATCTATGTATCGAAAACCTACGTAAATAGAACACTGTCTCAAGGATTTCCTACCCTGTGGGATAGAAACACGGTCTGAGGCGTACTCAATTTCACCCGGTTAGCCAACGATGTACGCCGCAAGTCCTATCAGGCGAACTAGACCGAGTATCCCGTGATTTGCTGGACAATGGTTCTCTTATTGCATTCATTTACAAACGCAGCAATCCGGCCAACTCTACGCCCATCTGCCTAATAGCTGAGAAGAAGGGCTTCCACATTGAACTAATATTCAAAAGAGATGAAGTGACAACCATGATATCTCATCGTTTAACACAGGCCGTGGAAAGGACGTGCAATACCGCTAGACTGACTATTCTTTACGGCAAATTTCGTTGCATCACTCTGTTCGGTCTCGTCAAACTATCCCTGAACCTGGCCCCAGGATGCTGATCCCAATGATCCCAGTTAAAAGCATTTGTTATTCCACTTTTGTTGCCGTCACAGTGATTATGCCACGCTTACTGCCACCCTACCATAGTGTGTGATATGTCCTTCCCTCCCTCTCCCTCACACATTCACCACCGTGTATATACCGGTTCACTTTCCCAACGTTCTATCAAATTCTGACATCTAATCTAATCTTAACTGATAACCAAGAGAACTAATTAACTTACTTTTCCACCGTCTTCAAATGACTCATTTCAACTGTTGTATTTCTTTATCTGACATGAATGTATAAATGTGCGTTTATTTGGCTTGATGGAAGCACACGAACACGATGACCAATATCAGTGAAGCTGATGACGCTGTCCAGTATTATTCATGACCGAAATTTTGCACTCAGTCGTACTATCAATCGGGTTCGGGATGGTTTGAACTTCGACAGTTTCTCACTCGTTGCGAGTAAATGATCCTCGATAGCGGACAGTGTAAGACTTTTCCATGCCTGTCAACCCGCTTCCTCAGTGGGCCTCCGAAATTTGCAATGAGTTTCAAATCCGGACTGTGGGCAAGCCAACCAACGGTCTTAACGTTTCAGTGCAGCAGCCGCAATATTGTGAAGTTGGCTCTATTCACAGAGGCAATGAGTCGTTGAAAAGTCATGATTCCCAAACGGTTTTCTGGAATCACCAGGAGGAGAAATCGGTTCAAAATTTTTGGGTAAAATTCAGCTACCTGAGTTCCTTCGAGATGCGCGAACCGAAACTTTCCTATCATATAAATGGGACCCCAGACCATGACAGAGCCCCCGCCGTGGGCTCCACGATTTACGGTTAACTTGCTTCTAAATAGGTTGTACCAGTATTATATAATTCCATCAAAACGTCACCGATCATCAAATATTTTAATTAATAAGGCCAGTTGATGTGACTTCTGATCCACGTAACTCGATCATCAGTATGACAGCTTTTTATCCAGGGAATTAGTCTTCCAAAGCTGTAATTCTGGTGCAGCTTGTTCAGCTCTAATTCTTCGAATTACTCTGGTATGCGTCCACAAAAATGTTATCAACAAACTACGGTGATCGGTAAAGTCTTCCAGCAGCCTTAACAATACTTGTGCCCATGTCTCTGCATCGAGTATTTTTCCGCGTCCCAACTCCGGTAGCTTTGAGGCAGGCATCATTCTTCTGTTTCTACATTCGACAGGTCCATGAAATCAGCCTTGATGCATCACGTTGGTGATTGTCATTAACCTGGGGTGTACTACGTGAATATTGTTCCGTCAGAACTTGAACCGTGAACCTTCGCGTTGTTAGTCGAAGCCCTTACCCCTGAGCTACAAGATGGCGGTCATCGCTCTATGTGAGTGGCTTAATACCTATTATGAAAAACCAGTAAGTGGAGTGGTGGTGGTGGTGGTGGTGGTGATGGTGGTGATTAGGGTGGTATACCGGAACTTTTGCACTGAGCCGTCTTGTTCCTGTGTTCGCTTGGTTATAGTTCATTGCAGTGCATTGCAGATTATAGGAAAGAAAGAGAGCAAATGCGTTGGGCAGGGTATATTCAACCGTTAACTAATGTAAAGTGTAAACTAAACTAATTAATTATGATCCCTTCTTTTTAGAAGTGCATCGACCATTTCTGCTTTTCCTGCAACCTGCAGTTGGTTTCACCCTGGTGACATCCTTTGGAGGTATTACTTTAAAAGCTTATTGGTTTCTAACCATTACGACTGAACAGAAATCAATGCACTGAGATTTTCGATTTTCGCAATCTAACTTCAAAATTCAGGTCGTTAAACTTCATTTTGTTTCGAGAAAAATATAGTTGAATATGCATAGGCATTTTGTCATGAAGCGGTGGCGGTTGAGTAGTAAAGATCCATCGTTTTGTATTCCGGGATCGTGATACCCGCCACTGTTTCAAACATTTTACGTAAACGGAGGCTCCAAATAGAATTTAGATTGAAGAGCTTACGCACACCAAACAACTAAAAATACCATTATTTTCCAGTTACTCCACAGAAGTTTTTCAAACAACAGAGTGCATTTACAGAATGATAGTGAAATCCATAACACATATTGTCACATACTGACCATAAAACTTGCCTCATTTGGTGGTTTGAGCTTTGCCTCCTGATGATAAAGCACCCGATCAATCAGTTCTGCTTTTTCCAGGACTCCGTCAGTTCGTAGGCCGAGTTCCGTGAGCTTGGTTTTCAGATCTCCGATGGAAACGTTCATCAGATATTCCCAATCATACTTGAGATATTTTTAAACGATAGGTATTATTTGGAATGCATGTCAAATTACTAATCAGTTGAATATTCGTTTCAATGATGTATGAGGTCGGTTAATTAATTGCTGTATGACTGACTGACTGACTGACTGACTGACTGACTGACTGACTGACTGACTGACTGACTGACCGACTGTCCAACTCTTCGGCGAATCGAGCGACCGAATTTGTACCGCAGTTGGTTAGACAATACTAGAATGATAATAGTAGTTATGAGTCTACTTTCCAGAAATGAAGTTATATTTTATTTCATCTGTTTGCCGAGATTGGCAATTCGTTTGCAAACTTTTGATCACCAGCCGGGGTGAAATAGTCAGTGCTTGAGATGATGTCACCTCAGCTGATGATGAATTGTTTGCAAAAAATGCGAAGCTCGGCGAACCGGTGAGATGGAATCCGGTTAACTCTAACTACAAGAGGTAATTTTCAACACTTTGTCAACATATTGTTGTATATAATCTTTGTGGAATAAGTGCCTTCGAGCGCAGAAAGTATAACCTCACACAGCAACTTGCTTCGTGCAAAAACATCAATTTTAAAACGGAATGAGCTGATCATTTAGTTAATTAACTAGCTTGTTTCGGGCACGCAATTCACGGACGATATGTTCTACTCATGCACATGTTTGCAATCTACTTTTTTTCTTAGAATTCGGAAGAACCTCGAGAATGTAATTGCATATCATTGATACTATTATTACGATGCAAAGTCCCATACTGTGTTGTCTAGTTGTTGTATATTTAATTATACTAGGTTTGGATCAAATTTTCTCACTTCATACAAACTGTTCAGCTTGAAAACAAAAAATTCTATGCAAATAAGCAGCTTTTGTGGTATTATTTAATGGTGAATATTAAAACTTTTGTATATCTGTATATCACAGATATGTGAAACATTAGAACTGCTCATCCCCGATCTCCTTCTTAAGTAATTGGCTTCTCTCGACCAATTGTAATGAATGGAACCCATCGGCTAGCAATATTATGAACTAATGCGTATTGTTCAAGTGTAAAATGCATGGAATCAAAATCGATTCAAAACATTCGATCGAGTGATGAGTCAAATAGAAGATACTGTGTACCAGTGGTCCCAAAATGTTTACGAAAATAGTGAATTTTCATGACACGTGAATGTTTGTCACTAACCAACTGTCTTTTATCCGAGTTAACTTCAAACTTGTAAAAGTGAACAATTTATTATTATTAATATTATTATTATTATTATTATTATTTGCAAATGCATCACTAAGATACATCCGGGTGTCTAGATCTCTACCTTGAACATTGATTAAATTGTATTCATTGGTTCATGTGAAAGAATCGGAAGGAGAATGGAATGAGATAAACAATAACTCACCACATTTTCGTTTGAGGTCATTGTTACCAAACCGACCAGTTGCTGTTTATCCGAGTTGAAACAAACTGCATCCGTAAAACCAAGACTAACATCTGGACAGTTAAATATGGTTGAATATTGATCTACCTTGTGTGCATGAATACACACACACACGCGTACACACACACACACACGCACACGCTCAGATACTTGCGCACATAAACATGCGCACGATTAGTCGAGTACGCACAACAACACTGATCGATTACTTTGAAGTGGTCTATGTGTATAACAGAAACCAATTCTCGACTAACATTAGACCGCGCCTTTGTGTCCTGTTTTGGACTAGTTTCAACTAAAAACTGATCTGGTTTGGTCTCTGCCCATTGTTCCAGTGACCTTTTATGAGTTAGTGCACATATCCCTTAGTGTTCAGATGTTTGACATCTGCCGCCTCATTGCAAATTCAAAGTCCATTGGGAGTGATACTTTTTTTCTGTCATCAATGTGTTTTTTCTTATCGAGTATGGGAAACGTCTTCTATTCGGCTTCTTGCAAAACTGTTCATTTCTGTCCGGAATTTGAACAACTTAAACGCCGATTTTTAAAGCAACTCGACTCATTGAAGCCACCGTTATTTTTGAATTTCAAAGCAACTTCATGTTCACTCTTCGGCTAACCTGCTAACGATACAGGAGTTTAGTCTACATTTTCTTTTTCCCTTAGCTGTTATATTGCACCCAA